GGGCTGTGAGCGCGGGGCCCTGCCTGGCCGTGCTCGCAGCTGACCACCTCCAAACAGCATCACGGTAAAATCCCTGCGTTTTAAAAAAGATCAAATTCTCTCCAATTTACTCATTCTTTTCATGTTTGAGGAAATTTCCAACATTGAGGTAGAGGCATGAGGTCATAGAAGTGGCTGTGAGCTGTATTTTCAAATTCAGAAGATTGATCACTCAGCTCCTATTACCAAAGTGTTGTTAACCATCCCTTAGCGTATTGGTGGGTGTTATGGAAAATGCAGTAGACGTTGAAGACACCATCCTTGCCCTCAAGGACCTCACAGCATGCGAGGAGAGCCTTTTTGCATTTTTCCCTGGTGGCAGGGAAAGGAGTTCAGTTTGGCATTTTGCTGAGCTAGTTAATTCCTTTTTCCATTTGGTCAGGACCCAGTCTGTGCGAAAGGCAGAACTGAAGTGCTGTATCCAAGTGTATCATTTACTTACTCTGAGATCTCTGGTTTATGATTCCCTTGGCTCTGAAAGTATAGCAGGATAATTCTTCATGTAGATAATCACGAATGCAGCCCTCTTTCATACCATGGGAACATTGGAACACATTTATAAAAGCTTATACAATCCCCACGTCCGATTTTTATTATTCAGTTGTTTGGGCTTTATAACTCTTAAATGTGATTGTATGAATTGACCCATGTAGTCTTTTTTTATTTAATTTTTTTTTATTGAAGTGTAGTTGATTTACAATGTTAGCTTCAGGTGTACAGCAAAGTGATTCATATATATATATACACACATATGTATATATACACACACACATTTCAGATTCTTTTCTATTATAGTTTATTACAAGAAATTGTATACAGTTCCCTGTGCTGTACAGCAGGTCCTTGTTGTTTATCGATTTTATATACAGGTGTGTATATGTTAATCCCAAACTCCTAATTTATCCATATAATCTTTTAATTAATCGTCCACAGTTTCCAACTGCATTTTATTTACCTGTTTGAGTCTAAATATTCTTTTACAATCAGACACGTGCTTTGCACCTTTCATCTGAAATCCCCACCAGTTAAGTTTAAACCAGAGTCGTCCGCAGAGCTGTTCACCGAACACATTACTGAGAACCTTTTGAATGACACATGCCGAACGTGGTGCTGGTGAGCAGACAGGCAAGGGGACAGTTCATGCTCACATGGGAGATGACATCACATTACAGTCAGCTTCAAAGAGTCCAAATCACTGGTACTGAGAGACTGAGATGTGCTATTAGTTTGAGGAATAAAAATGACTGCTCAGAAATTATATTCCTCCCCCTAAACTGTTCTCAAAGGGTCGTTCTTTCACATTGTTCGTCTGCAGGGTTAGTATTTGGCCTTCCCTGTAACAAGACGAGAGGCCGAGCGGAGCAGAAATGACAGCAGTGAAGGAGCTCTTCTGCCCTGCGCGGCTGGGGCGGGTCTTGCTCTCCAGAGATCTCTCCATCCTCGGGGCCACTGTCCATGGGTGGGCTCTTCTGTCACCAGCAGCTGAACCTGCGAGAGGAAAGATGAGAATTTTGAATGTAACTGAGAGTTTTGCCCTAAAGGGAGTGGCTCCTGGGGAGTTGAAGGCTTTTTCTTCAACTTCCAGTCTTATTTTGGAGCAAGGTTTGGGGCTAAAAGCACAAGAGTGGTCTGCTGACTTTTTCTTTTTTTTTAAATCAATCAGATACATTGTTTGTTCCTCTGGGTTTGACAGACATGTTGTAATCAGGTCCTGAACTGCTCACCACCCCTTTATGTACCTTCTGTCTAAAGGCTTGTGACCTATATTCATGAAACTACAAACAATGGGTTTAACCATTAACTCTCAAGCCACCTTTAAATGAATTCTTTTATAAGATGAGAATTATAGAGGCTTCCACGGGTTGCTTAGAGGAAAAAAGGGAAAGGATTCAGGTTGAACTAGGTTTTTAAGGACCCGGGAGTTGATGGTTAGGACGCCTAAGACCAGGCAGATAATTTGCCTTGACCTGACCATGTCAGATAACACTGTTAAGCTGACATTCCAGTGTCCCTGAGAATCGGAAGACTTTCTCAAGTTGGTCCATCTGAGGGTAAAATTAAATTGTGGCAATATCTTGTATTCATTGAGTAAAACCTCCCCATCTATGCCAATACTTAGTGTCCATTAAGGGCACAATTTGATGTTAGGTATCTATTTTCAGGGCCTTGGGAACGTTACAGGCTACAAAGATTACATTGTTTTCTCAAGTGATAGGAAACACCAAAGAGAGTGACTGAAATCCTGCCCCTAAAAGTCCCAATTATCTCTACGAATTTTCTCTTCTATTTTCAACTGAGCATCAATTCAAATAAAGGGTATCTTTGCAGAAAACTATACAATCCAATAGTGCCTGATATTTTGTGCAAAATAAAAGGACCATCCCATCAGAGTGGTGAAACTGACCTGATTTGGACTGAACCGCCATTGGTAACATACAAGCCTGTCTGAGGTCTCCTGAAGTTTCTACATTTTTACATTCAAGTGGGGTTTAATTTCCACGTGCTGCTTTGAGTCTGCTGAACTTGTGCCATAGTGTAAATTTTGTTTTTTTCCCCCCTCTATAACATTAGAAAAGCCTTTTCCTGCCCTTCTGGTAGATTAATTATTTTTCAGAATCCATCTCTAGGCTAGTTTAACCTACTGGCCCCAATTTTCAGACCGAGAAATAGAAACACTAAGTGATAGTTTCAGTACAGCCCAGGAGTCAGCAAAAGCCAGTCTCCTGGTTCCAACCTGGCTTTACTACCTGAGTCCTCAGGCAGTTCTTGAGTAATTGTTTGAGTCAATTCTCTGATTTACAAACATACCGGCTGCTTTTGATTAGATTATTTAATCTGCTTCAGCAATGTTTGGACAAATTTATTGTATATGCTCTCATCTAGCAATTAATTACACAACTTGCCAGGGTTTTTTTGGGTGTTTTTGGTTTTTTTTGGCTGGTGTTTTGTATTGTCGTTTCTCCCCCCCCCCAACTTCATCGAGTTGTCATTTATTCTTGCTTGTTTCAATTTCTGTTCCTTAGGAAAGACTCTGTCCGTGGCGAATTTCTCAAGGAAAAGAACTGTGACCTATAATTCTTTGCAGACTCTCTGACGTGTAGGACCTCACACGCGGTGTGCTGGAATTTGAACTGCTCTCATTGTAATTGGAGAAAACGCAGTTTCAGGTTTTGAAGTATTTCTCTGCTAGTATTAATTGATTTAACCTGGTTAGTATCAAAGCAACCAGAAAAATACCTTTAAGTCGGGGGGTGCTGAGAAGCTGTTTGCTCCTGGATATTGCCCCCCCAGTCTGCCGCGGCGTCTGGCCGGCCTGTTTTGGACTTCGCAAAGGCTCCCCCAGGCCAGGTCCGGGAGCGCCTGCTGCGCGTTGGTCCCGGCGCTGGGTGCGTGGGGAAGAGAGGGACGAGCCCTCCGCTTACGGATCGGAGCTCAGCCGCGGGGAGCCGTGGACTCGAAGCAACGACGAGCGCGGCGCCAAGCAGCCTCTAAACCTCAGCTGGCGCTGGACGGCTGGTCTGGATGCAGATGGATGGGGACCCCGGGCGGGGCAGGGCCGCGGAGGGCGGGCTCTGGAGCCTGAAACTCGAGGGGCAGCCCTTCCGCGTAAGCTGCTGACTTTAACTCCCGTTCCTTGGTTCGTGAGCCGGGGCCAGTTCACGGGGCGCGCCCCACGGCGCCGTGGTGACTCCCTTGGGCGACGAGTGTCACGTCGCAGTGACGCGTGCGCGCGGCGCGCACTCGGCATTCGCCGTCTCCAGGCCCTGGAAACCCAGGCATCGGTGCGAAACCCAGAATGAGAAGCAAGGATGTGTGTGACGGTCTCCCTGGGCTTGCAGGCTCCCGTTTATTCTGATTCTTTGTTTGAGACGCAGAGGGCGGAGCAGCTCTGCGAGCGTGGAGGCTTTACCGGTGTTCAGCACACGTGAACGCAGGGCTGCACTGGGTAGACCGCCCGCGGACAGAGGAGCTGGGGGTCCCTCGGAGAGGGGCCGGGAGGCAGAGGGAGGAGGCAGAAGGCAGGGTGGCTCTGGGAACCCCGCGCCCAGCGTTACCAGCCGTCGGTGGGTTTCGTGGAGCGGACGCGGGCGGTGAGCACGGCGGCTGCGCGGAGGCGAGCTGCTCCGCGCGCGTGTGCGGCTTTCACTGCAGGAAGCCAGGGAGAGGGAAGCGCGTGGGTCTTTGAGTCACACTGATGGAGGTGTAAATCCTGACTCAGTCACCTGCTGTCTGATCTTGCGCCAGTTTCTGAACACGCTTGGACTTCTGCTTCCTCATCTGCACGATGGGGACGATGACCACCTGCGAATTTACGAGGGATGCAGACGGGTGTGCTGAAGGCCCCAGGGCGGTGACTCTCACCAGCACCGTGGCTGGTGCCGCCGCTGCCATGCATGGCGGGTCTTGGCGTGAGGGGCTGAGCTCAGTGGCAGAGCTGCGCTCGGCGTGCGCGAGGTCCTGGGTTAAGTCCCCAGTGCCTCTGTTAAGGGGGCAGACCTTAAAGATTGCGGCCAGCGGTCACTGCCAAGACGTGATTTGTGAATTTTCACACCACAAGGAGCCTCTAGAGAAGGGAACACTACAAGGAGAGCCTCTTCTAAGTGCTTCGCAGAAGCATCCCCTCCCTCTTTGATTTTTACGAAAAGGGGTAAGATCTAGAAGTTTGTAGTAAGAGCGCCAGCCTGCATGGGAAGTGAGCGTTGTGACTTTGCTCATCTCAGTAACCATAGTCTTTCTCGCTATTTAGCTCTTTCTGAACCGTTCGTTCACGTGCAGCCCTGACGGTCTTGCTTTGTTCTTGCCGAACTGGAGTGTGTGTCCGTCGTGGCGCCTTCCGCCAGGTCCCGCCGTCCTGTCTGGTATTCCCTG